TAACTATTTTAATACATTTTGTACCTATTCTATATTTGACCTTTTTCCATAATTTTTCGTAAAAAGTTATATTTTAGTATATCCAAGTTACCAGTAATAACATGTTTATGAAAAGACTGCCAAGGAATTTAAGTAACAGTCACATGGTAAATTCTGCACATTATCTATATTTACATTATTTTAAAAATCATTATAATTATATATATAAGAGGTCATATTGGAATTTCATATTTAAAACTAATAATAGGTTTTAGATATTTTAAAGGAAAGATATTTTGTGTTACAGAATCATGGAAAATTTTAGAAATTTGTAAATCATTAAAAATTTTATGCTTAAAATTAATTACTAAATACGATGATTTCTTTTTTGACACTTCATTAATTATATCATTAAAATTATTCAACTTAAGTCTAAATTTTATAAGATCTGAGATTAAGTGTTTAACATGAATATTTTTAAAATTAAATGTGATTACAATTTTTGCTAATGATTTTAACTGAAATATTTAGTTTATGTATAAACATAGATATAAACTGAGGTGTTAAAATAGTTTTGAAACAATATTTTCTTATGATAAACAACATTCTTTTGATTTTAGTACAGGATACTTTACAACATTTAAAATTGTGCATCAGAAATTAACATTTGTAGATTTCCATTACGTTAAGCCTTATTAAGTTAAAAATCACAGAATTTTAAGACTTTGCTGAAACCAGTTTTCTGTTTACTGATATGAATCGTTTTAGAACTTATCAATTGATCTTTTACCCTTAGTGGAATGCTAGTAAACGCGTTTAAGTTGTCCTCATTTACTAGATTCTTTCTAAATATGCGCGTGTTTTTACTATTCGACAAATTGTCCTGGAATGATTAAAATGTCAAGAGAAATATCTATCTATTTATCTCTCTCTCTATATATATATATCAACTACTCTATGTTTTTATAATCTCTCTCTCTCTCTCTTTTAAATTTAATGTTTTCATAATTTCTGCTAAGCTATCTTTAATTTCGCTCAAATTATACCCGTTTGTGTTAAAACATTAATTTGTTCATTTGAAGTTAAGCAGAAAGCTACACATTGGGCTATCTGTGCTCTGCCCACCACGGGTATCGAAAGCCGGTTGTTAACGTTGTAAGTCCGCAAATACCGCTGTGCTACAGCATTAATGAATTCATGGAAAAATATCATTAAGGTAGTAAACAATTGAATTATAAAAACATCAATAATAATATAAAAGTTAGGTAATAATATAAAAGTTAGGTAATAATATAAAAGTTAAGTAATAACATAAAAGTTAGGTAATAATATAAAAGTTAAGTAATAATATAAAAGTTAGGTAATAATATAAAAGTTAAGTAATAATATAAAAATTAGGTAATAATATAAAAGTTAAGTAATAATATAAAAGTTAAGTAATAATATAAAAGTTAGGTAATAATATAAAAGTTAAGTAATAATATAAAAGTTAAATAACAATATAAAATAACTTAAATCATGAATTGAGTTTATTTATTTGCAATTCTAATATCTCTTTAAATAAGCAAATATCTTGTATAAGTTTTCGTAAAATGGAACAAAAAATCTACAATCTTTAGAAAAGTTAAATATTAGCTCTCTTTAAACCCAGATAGGGTTGATGGGAACACCAGATTCAACGTTAAAACTTGCAATAGTGAGGTCGATTTTTTTTGTCAACTTTATAAAATAAAGACAAGTACACGTGTATTCATACTACTTATGGACAAATAACCGATTTACCATTAATTAAAATAATATATATTCACTTTGTTTGAAGCAAGAACGTGTTTAATAAAGCCATCTTTTCTTTGTTTTCAAGGCCCAACAGTTGTTACAAACACGAATGAACAAGTTACAGTCAATTCTAAGTTCTCTTATTCATGTGATGTAAGCCTAACAAAAAGACAGCACGTAAACCAAACAATCGTTAATTTTTCTTCCTCTTTAACCTTTGCAGCCGACATGAAAAAAATTCTTAAGGGTAAACACCGCATTTCAACATTCAACACGTGGATGACTGACCCCGAAAAGACAGCTTTTAAAGAGTCGATTTATCACCACAACGTTGCAAAAAAAATTAACAAAGAAATTCACTCCTTATCTCTTCACCTGTGTATGTTTCTGGTTAATTCCTCTTGACTCAAGTACTAGTTTAAAAAAAACAAAAAACACCCAAAGTCTG